GATGGATGATCCCAAGGGATGGATGATCCCAAGGGATGGATGATCCCAAGGGATGGATGATCCCAAGGGATGGATGAGGGACCTCTCCGAGGGGCTGATGGATCCCAGCCCCATTCCAGGAGTTTGGGATCGGTTCCTTCCCGCAGCTCCCGGCGAAACACAACAACAAAAAAAACCCCAAAAACATCCGAAAGGGAAAGAAAACTGAAAAAAAAACACCCAAAAAAAGGTGGATTTTTGCTGTGTGAGGATGTGGAAAAGCCTCCCCTTGGTCCCAGGTCCTGCCCAGCTCCGGAGCAGGGACAGGGAAGGGCCCCTTGGTGAGTCCAGAGGCGGCTCCTCCTCTCCCGGAGCTGAAATCCGGGGATTTGGGATCATCCTCAATTCCCAGGGGATGGACACAGGAGCAGATTGAGGCACAGAGTCAGGACAGCTCATCCCATCCCATCCCGGTTCTCCTCTCTCTCTTCCCAGCTCCTTCATTGGGATGGAGGGAGGGGGAGCCCGGGGTTGGTATTTACACTGTTCCCATTGGGAATGCCGGGGATCCCGGGGGAATGCCGGGGGCTTCCATCCAGGGGGAATTCCTGGGGAGGGTTCCCTCGGTTCTTGGCGCTGTTGGGCTGTTGTTCCACTCCGTGGGTCCCGAGGGGGAATTCCAGAGGGAATTCCAGAGGGAATTCCAGGGGCCAGGCTGGGCTCTCCCTCAGTTCTGGGGGCTGTTGTTCCGCAGGGTCCCGGGGAGGAATTCCGGAGGGAATTCCAGAGGGAATTCCAGAGGCTGGGCCAGGCTCCCCCCTCCGTTCTCGGGGCTGTTGGGCTGTTGTTCCACTCCATGGGTCCCGAGGGGGAATTCCAGAGGGAATTCCAGAGGCCAGGCCGGGCTCCCCCTCAGGGCTCCCCGCTCAGTTCTCGGGGCTGTCGATCCGCAGGGTCCCGAGGGGGAATTCCAGAGGGAATCCCAGAGGCTCAGTTCTCGGGGCTGTTGTTCTGCCTGGCCCTGATGAAGGCCATGCCGTGGGTCCTGAAGTGGGTCTTGAGGTTGAGCTGGCTGTCGAAGCCCCTCCCGCACACTTTGCACACCAGTTTCCCGTCGTTCCCCGCGCTCTGGGATCCCCCTTCCCGGGGGCTCCGGGGCCCCTGGGCCGGATCCTCCCCGTCCCCCGGGCCCTTCTTCTTCTTGTGGGTGATGAAGCGGTGGCGGTTGAGGGACACCTGGGAGGTGAAGCAGAGCCCACACTCCCGGCACTGGTGGGAGCTCCCGTCAGTCCGGTGCTGCGGGATGTGCTCCTGGAAGTCGGAGGCGCTGCTGGCCAAGTACCCGCACTTGCGGCACCTCAGGGGCCCCTTGCGGTCCCCCTTGGGGGTCTTGGAGGGGGGGGTGGTGCTGTCGGGCTCCTCGCTGCAGGAATCGTCCGAGGAGAGTTTCCTCTTCCGGCCCGAGAGCTGCGGGATGAGCGGAGAGGGTTTGGTGGGAATCGGGATCGGGAGGAACCGATCGGCGCCGGGATCCCACCCACGGGGATTCGCTTGGATCGAGGGATGGGGGGGCACTGAGAGCTGTGGGATCCCACCCAAGGGGGGTCCCAGAATAGGTGGGATCCCATCCCAGGGGGGTCCCAGAACAGGTGGGATCCCACCCAAGGCGGGGCCCAGAACAGGTGGGATCCCATCCAGGGATCCATCCAGGAATTCCACCCAAGGGGTGTCCCAGAACACCTGGAAATCCCATCCAGGAATCCCATCCAAGGGGGTCCCAGAACAGGTGGAATCCCATTCAGGGATCCATCCAGGAATTCCACCCAAGGAGGGGTTCCAAAACAGCTGGAATCTCATCCAGGGATCCATCCAGGGATCCATCCAGGAATCCCATCCCAGGGGCTCCAGAACATCCCCACCCCCCCCCGTGTCAGGCCCCTCACCCCCTGGGGCACATCCCGGGCGATCTCCGACGGGACATTCCCACTTTCCTGTGGGACAGGGAGTCAGGAACAAACCAGGAAACTCCTCCAAACCCCCCCAAGTTCCCCCCGACCCCCCCGTACCTGGGAGGGGCCGCTCCCGATCCGGGAAATCACGACCTCCTGGCTCCTCATCTGATCCGTGACCTTGATCCCGTGCCGGACCTGGATGTGCTTCTCCAGGATGAGGCGGCTGCTGAAGGTCCTTTTGCCCTCCGTGCAGTACCTGGGGGGTGGGACAGGACCTCAGGGAGCTCCCAAGCCCTGCTGGTTTCCCTGGGAATTCTGCTCCAGAACCCCAATCCCAAACCCCAAACCCCAAATGTGCTCAACAACAACAAAACCCCGGAGTCGTTCCCGGCTCCTCCCGCTCCGTGTCCGACCTCCCGCGGATTCACCTCCCCACCTTTTCCCCCTCCCCGGATCCAACCTCCTCCCCCCCGGGGGGTTTTCCAGCCCCCCATTTTTCCCGGGAAGGGGAGGGATGCCGTGGTACCTGCAGGGATAGACCCGTTTGATGCCCTCGTGGTTGACGCGGACGTGCCGGCGCAGGCTCGGGGCCGAGCAGAAGGAACGTTCGCAGAGGTGACACGGGAACTTCTTCACCGACTGCGGGGACAACACGGGGGTCCCTCAGCCCAGAGCCGGGGCTGGGGACGGGATCCCGCTCCAGGGGATGGGGGGGACTCGGATTCCCACTCCCTGCCCATCCCAGGGGATGCTCAACGGGATCGGGAGCAACTCAAACCTCAACCCGGGGAGGGGGGTTTGTCCTGGGGGAGAAGGATCCCAAGGGTCCCATCCCTGATCCCAAGGGTCCCATCCCTGATCC